GGGGGATTTGTTATTGTTGTAAATGCTGAAAGCCTGTCATTTGTATGAGTTTTACTTGTCCAAGGGTCTTGTGACTGAATGATGCGACTTAGTTATTGGAGTTGGACTAATGCAGGCTTTTGGGAATTTCTTTTAAATATACACTATCTCTGGTTTGTCTATGTTTATGAATGCAAGTGAAATCGCAATGAAACAGTAGGAGTCTTGCTATTTTCCCATTTTTTAAAAGATTAGCTTCGTACGGGTATGATTTAATTGTCTGTAAATTTGAGAAAGTACTTTTCTCCTTTTATTGCAATTTTGCTTCATTATCTGAGTGCTGCTTTATTCTCTGCTTGCAACTGAATTTCCAAGGAACCAACTGTATTGAAAAATAACGTAATCCAATAAAACGAGACCAACTCTTAGTGAACATATGGGTACATTATTATGTGTTGTTGGCAATCGCTTCAAACAGGCTTCCAAATGCAATTCTCAACCCCTGTAATGCTAAAATTTCAATTTCTCCAGGAGCTTTGCCCATAAGAATCTCTATAGGTACATTGCCCATGGACCCTGCTAGGGGGCAGAAAAGCCACTGGTATTGAATTTTCTTTACTTTTCTGCTTTGTTTATCGGAAGCCCTGAGTTTAATTCTTTTAATTTGTTAAAGAACAGAAGTTAAATAGAGCTTGTCCAGGGTGTTTACAATTCTTTTAAGGTATCGGAGTTTGTGCTTGATTCGTATTGTGTAAGCTATTTTATGTGTGATGCTTATTTGCTAATTTATGCAAAGATTAACAACAGTATTGACGTTTTTGTTTAAATAGGGTGCAGGAAAGACCAATGTTGCTCTTCTCACAATCATGAGGGAAATTGGAAAGCACGTCAATGCTGATGGAACTATAAATGCTGATGACTTCAAGATCATATACATTGCCCCGATGAAGTCTTTGGCACAAGAAATGGTTGGAAACTTCTCAGACGTGAGTGGCAAGCCAGTCTAGTCTTCTCTTATATATGCTGCGACAGTGTTGACTATTCTTTTAGTTAAGAGTGTGAATGGATCTTATTGCTATGACTTAAGTGCAGGCCTGAGTGTGACTACCTTTATTTTTTACTGTTCTGTGCGCCAAACACACACCTCAATATCATGCAGTGATGTATTAGTTGTGTACCGGAGGGAGGATAGGGTTAACGGGATAAAATGAGCTGTCACTGGATATTTAATCAAGGTTATAATTATAACAGGGAACTAAAATCAGCCAAATAACTGGCTCTGCTTGGTGAACCAGCAAATTTAAAAAAAGTCAAAGTATGTTGGAATGGGTTTTTCAAAATGAATATACCTTGTCTTTCCAGCGTCTTGCCTCCTACAAGATTCGTGTGCAAGAACTGACAGGAGATCACCAGCTGACCAGGGAACAGATTGCAGCTACTCAAGTGATTGTGTGCACCCCGGAGAAGTGGGACATCATCACCCGCAAGGGAGGGGAGAAAACCTACACCCAGTTTGTCAGGCTGGTCATATTTGTATGTGGTGACCATTTTTTCGCTGCTTTGTCTTCAGTCATTTTGCCTTTTTTTAATTTGAAACTGTAGATTGTTTTGGTCACATTGAGTAGAAGTAAAAAGAAAAGAACTAAAACAGGTATATCAAAAGCTAAGCCTTTTTGAAATAAGACAATGAATTTGTTATATGATAGACCCACTTTATTGTTGCACCATCAGAAGGATACACTGGACAGTATACACCATAGCCATAGAATTCTTTTTCGTGTGTGTTGACGCTGGTGGCTCTTTGTGTAAAACTTGCTTGAAAGGGGAATGCCTCAAGATGGATGGTTCATGTACATGTTTTAAAGAACATGTGTTCAGTGATACTGGAGGGCCACAAACAAATTTTTCTATTGCCATGGGAATTTTGAAAGACAGGTAACGCAAAATATTGAGTGATTAATTTTTTGTTTTTCCAATTTATTGGACATTTCGCAGCAGTAGGTTAAAGATGAGAACTAAGACTCTTGACATTTGGAGATTCCCTGTGCTCACAATAGGCCCCAAGTTCCCACACATGTGGATTCCCTGCTGGAAGTGATATAGTGGTTTCCCTTGCCAAAACAACTGAGAAAAGCACTCTCATTTAATATGATCTGATCAGAGGTGCTGATTTTCTGGATATATATGGACATTGATATTTCTGAAATTATTCAGATCTTGCACTTTATGTAAAACTTCATGTATTTGACAATATGACCAATAAAGTTTGAGTCCTTGTGCGAGCTTTTGAAAGGTTCTGGATTTTTTCTCTATTGCCAGAACTAAATTGGTTTAGTTCTTATTTGAATGTAGTTCAGTTGATGTGAACTATTTGAACAATGGCAAAGTGATCCTACACAGCAGATAAACAGTCAAATGAGCTTATTGTGGATATCGATTGTAAAGAAAAAGCAATTGAAAGTGCATATAGTACTGATTCTGATGACATTTAGACAAGGGAATTAGAGGGAGATTATCTTACAGATGGTGACAAGAATTAAAGGTAGACATTTGTTTCCTCAGTCAAGTACCTTCACAAAGACATACCATATGGGAAATAGGTCTAGGTCCATGAGGAGGCTGGCTAGGTGGTGGGAAAAGATATTGTTGGCTTTGTCAATGTCGACAAACTATCAAAATTGCTCAGACAGAAGAAAATGATAAACTGCAGACTGAGAAAAATTTCAGGGGAAATCTTTAAGTTCTGCTCTGACTGGTATGTGCAGCATACACATTTTATAAATTTCCGAACTTAAAATGGGGACAGGAAACCACTCCTGGAGAATTTGTTCGGTAGGAAAAGGATTTAGTTGTCTGTCTTGTCATCTTTTTTTTTGGGGGGGGGGGGGGGTGTTGTATTTGTTGTGTGTGTGTTGTTGGGTTTTTTTTTACAATCTTAATGATACGGTCTGTTTATTTCTGTTCAGGATGAGATTCACCTGCTTCATGATGACAGAGGACCCGTTCTGGAAGCTCTTGTTGCCAGGTGAGTTTTGTTTGTTTGTTTTTATTCTTTAGATATTTAAGATATAAAAGAAATAATGTTGATTCCCATAATGGTATCTTTAGTTGAGCGTGTATGTTATTTTGTTTTTATTCACATTTGCTTTCAAGTGTAAGTCATGTTTTGTTCATCCTAAATCAGATGGTAAGAAAGTTTTTAAAATGGTGATTTTAATCACTTCCTCTTTGCAATTTTGTGGGTAGCGGAGGGTGCTAGTGGTTGGTCTTGCTTCTTTTCTGTTTTTGTTTTTTTGGGGGGTTTTTGTTCCTGTCAGTTTGATTTGCTTTTTTCCTACATGAAATGTTAGTTATTATGTGGATGTGATTCCCTTTCATTACTCAAACAAATGAAACAACACTTTCCGTAGAAATGTTCTTTACTCAAACAAATTGGGAAAAAACAAAAAACCAACAAACAAATCTCTTCTCCAGAACTATCCGCAACATCGAGACTACCCAGGAGGATGTGCGACTGGTGGGTCTGAGTGCAACACTGCCCAACTATGAGGATGTGGCAGCCTTCCTGCGGGTGGACCCTAGGGAGGGACTCTTCTTCTTCGACAACAGCTTCAGGCCTGTGCCGCTGGAGCAGCAGTTCATCGGGGTCACCGAGAAAAAGGCCATCAAGAGATTCCAGCTCATGAATGACATTGTGTACGAGAAAGTCATTGAGCATGCAGGAAAAAATCAGGTAATGAATGCATTCATTAAATTTTTAATCTTTCTAATAAATGTAAAGAATTCAATAGAAAAGGCTGTGATGTCACTTAGAAGTTCTGGAATTCAAAATATTTTGACTGGGGCTGCTGTTTACCATATCAGTAAAAAATTTGTCCTTTTGCCCGTTGTAGATTCTGTTCATTTTAAATACTCTGAAGGATATTATGAAAATTATATATCTGAAATGGACTCCACATGTTTTTCCTTTGAAGTCTTCATTTACTGGTATATTTCCTTTTAGAGTTTTGAAGTGTTGCTAAAAACGATCAAATTCAGTTGTCTTTTCCTTTATTGCTGTTGGTCTATATTAGTTTTAGGTGTTTAGCAGGTTCTTAAAACTGAAATGGGAATCTAGAAGGATTGCGACTGTTATGTTCAGGTATGAATGCTGTTGAAAGACGATGCACACGCTGAATTGAAATGTTCTGAGTATGGCACACATGCGCCGTTGTGCATGACGAAAATTAAAGCCAACTGTTTCCTGTTCTTGTAAGAGAGAACCGTCCTATAGTGATATTGGGACTACATTATTATGCTTCAGGTTAAGCACATTTGAAATGGGGATTGGGCTTTACTTTAACCCAACATTTAAAATAAAAAAATTTTTTGGGGGGGGGGGGGGTGTGCTTTGTTTTGATTAATTATGTTTTGTTTTGATTCTTAATGGTGCAGTTCTAAAATTGATTTCAGTTGTTTTGCTTTACCTTTACCCTGCATTCTTCATGACTTTTTTTTTTGTCTTCTCCCAGGTGCTGGTGTTTGTCCACTCGAGAAAGGAGACCGGGAAGACAGCCAGAACCATACGAGATATGTGTTTGGAGAAGGACACTTTAGGCCTGTTCATGAAAGAAGGATCAGCTTCCACTGTTGTTCTGCGACAAGAAGCAGATCAAGTCAAGGTATGAATTGGATGTGGAGATGTTAACATAAGACTGACAGCTTATTACATTTGTTCTTTTTCCATAGATGTTTAAAATTTCTTTTCTTGAGGACTTGACGCTTTTATGTGCCTAAAACAGTTATGATCTATTTTGTTTACCTTTGCATTTTTTCAATATTTTAAAACATGAATGTGTATGTTAAATCAATGCTAAGAAGCAGATGGGTTTATCGTTTAGCTAGGCCCAACCCAAAAAAAACAAAAAGGGGTGAGACTTTATACAAGACTTACCCAATGATATGCTAATGTGCAATGAACCGAGCACACTGCTGCCACCTGTCCCTTTTGTAACAGTCAGTAATGACACACTGCTGCTGACTTCAGTGATCGTCATGCAGCTATAAAATTGGAAGTATGGCATCCGTCTTACTGTGGCTATTGACTGCCTGTCTCAGGGTTTTTTTTGTTTTTCTGATAGTTTTGTTTCGTGAACGGGGTTGTTTGATTCTGCTAGTAGTGTTTCTTTTTTAAAAAGCTCTTATGATAGATAATAATCTTGATAGAAATGAAATGGAGAGATTAAACTATGATTTCATATTCTAACAGTCTGTTGGTTTTGTCAAGTCTCGCCAAGCCAATGGTTCATCTCCAGTCACTCAATAAAACAAAAAAAAGGTCTTGTTGTTTGTGAGTTACACGTACCATGTGAGAAATCAGTTTCATGGATGTAGTAAGTTGCCATAACTGAGACCCTGTCTGTAGCGGCCATTTGTTATGGTCACTTTTGTGTGTGATCAAAGTGACGATTATGGACAAGTTCAAGGACCATGTACATGCATTCTTTGTATCTTTTTAACCTTTCCAAATATTTATATATATTTTAACTTAGTCTGTAGTTTCATTTTGTCTTACTGGACTCTTGTTTGCTTTTCAGAGCTCAGAGCTGAAAGATCTTCTTCCTTATGGCTTTGCTATTCATCATGCTGGAATGAATAAGTAAGTCAGCTGGCAGAATTATATATGGCTAAAGAATGTTTTAACTACAAATTAGAAATCGGTATAGGCTGCTATTTGATAAAATCTTACCTGCACTTGCATATGATTGCGTTAAACCATCATAAAATATTTGTTAAAGTAGCTTTTTTGTAATGTGCTGAGCACTTTTGAGTTTGGGTGAAAATTGTGCTTAAACTCAGCATTTGTTACATCTTGATATAAGTTTTTATGGTCTTGCTTTTGACATTTGAAAAAGTAATAGATGTTTGTATGTGTAGTTAGTTATGGTTACCTTGCTTTTGTTACACTTAGCCACAGGTGGTTGAGGGGAAGCTATGGTAGGTGCTGCTTCTTTTTTTTTCCCTCTGTTGTTTCTGTCTGTGTTACTTTTCCCTTGCGTTAAACTGATGGGTGGTTGGAGGGCACCGCTGGTAGGTCTTACTTCTTTTTTTTCCCTCTGTTGTTTTTTGTCTGTCTTACTTCTTCCCTGCACTATATGACCGTAACTATGTCGATGTGATTCTTTTTACTCAAAATCAACTAAAACTAAAATGTTAGATATTTTGAAATGTTAAAGAGGAAGTTTGTAAGTTTACAATTAAAAATGGTACTCGTAACATTCTTTATCATTTCCCATTCGCAGAGTGGACCGGAAACTGGTGGAAGATCTGTTCACCGATCGTCACATCCAGGTGCTAGTGTCCACCTCTACCCTGGCCTGGGGTGTCAATCTGCCGGCACACACGGTCATCATCAAGGGGACACAGATCTACAGCCCGGAGAAAGGCCGATGGGTGGAGCTCAGTGCTCTTGATGTCTTGCAGGTGGGTACAGCTGTAGAAGTCACTAGTTGCTTATTATAGTTATTGTTTGTGATTGTTCTTGGATGCCACTTTTCAGTTTAAAACAGTTGTTTAATTGATTGTGTTCGGTCCTCTCCCCCCCCTCCCGCCCAATCATTTTAAAGAAGTCTGAAAACTTGTCCGTCAGTTGTAACTGTCGACCATTCACATTTGCATCATATTAATAAGTTTGATCAGCCAAAATCCTTGAAGTTGTAGGTAAACCTTGTTATTCTCTCAATCCAGCCAGCAAGTGTTGCAATACAAGAGAATAAGAAAAAAAGAATAAGAGAATGAGCTTTTAAAAAAATTATTTTTACCTCTTTCAGATGCTTGGCAGAGCAGGTCGTCCTCAGTATGACACAAAGGGAGAAGGAATCATGATCACCAATCACAGTGAGCTGCAGTATTACCTGTCTCTGATGAACCAGCAAGTGAGTATAAATTTGTTTTGCTTACTTACTTACTTAAGAGTTTGGCCCCTTGTGGAGTGAAAGCCACCGAAAAGCTCTCCCCAGTCACCACTATCCTGGGACAGTCTCTCCAGCTGTCTCCAGGAATGTCAAGTGTTCTTTGTCTGTATATCCACATCAATGGGCCTGGTGTTCTTATGACTTTCTGTTTTGGTTTTTTCCAGTGGTTGTCAAGTTAAAGTTTGTCTTATACTGGTTATACGCTTGTTTAGAGGTGGCTGATTCATCTAAATAGCCTCTTAAAAATTTTGACTCGGACAAGGTGTTTTGAGGTTGCATAGATACAGTTATGTGTAACTGATTATGTTGAGCTAGTGGATCAGAAAAATTTTCCGGAGGCACACTTTGTTTCCTCAACATGGATGTCTGTTTCACAGATCATATTTCATTCCTGTTTCTGATATTTACTATGCACATGATAGATATGTTTTGTAGCTTCATTGTAATGACATTGGCTTGTTTTACTCCCCTAGCAAGTTCACCACAGGAATGCCTGAATCCCACTCAGTCTTTTGTCTTTCAACTTTCTTTTGTCAGCAGCGTAAGCAATAAACTATTCTTCTTCACATATGCATGATTGTGCATCTGTCTCCAGTTTGGAACTTTTTTTATGGCTTTGATCTGTTTCTTATAGACATAGACATTTTCAACCTTATTGAGATGTGAATAGGTTATTTTGTGGGTTTTTTTTTACTTGTCAGAGTCTGTCCCATCTGCAATAATAACCCTTTATTTGTACATTTGCTTGTTATTCCCAGTTGCCAATTGAAAGCCAGTTCATCAACAAACTTGCTGACAATCTGAATGCTGAGGTGGTGCTGGGCACAGTTCACAATATCAAGGAAGCGGTGGATTGGCTTGGTAAGGACATTATTTATTCTGTTGTGAAAAGAGTCTTTCTACATTGTATTGTTATTGGATAGTTGTTCTGTTGACATCAGAAAAATTCTCATTATGGTATAGACGAAAGTGTTTCAGCTTGTGAAACTGCATCTTACGGTTTCTAATGGAAAGGTTTTGAAATTTGATGAAAAGATCATATTATTTATTATACTTATTCGATTAATCCTGCTTTTCCGTTGCACAATTAAACGGCTTTTGAAAAAAAAAAAGTTATTGAAATCTTGCCTTTTGTTTCTGTTCCTGGAATGCTTTTCTGTTTCTCATTTTGAAGGCTTTGTAGATAAACTTATTTTCTCAACATTTTGCTTTTGGTTTCTCTCCTTCAGGCTACACGTACCTGTACATCCGAATGCTGCGTAACCCGACGCTGTACGGCGTCTCTCATGACACCTTGAAGGATGACCCCCTGCTGCAGCAGAGAAGAAGGGACCTGGTCCACACTGCAGCCTGCCTTCTGGACAAGAACGGGCTCCTGAAGTATGACAGAAAGACCGGGAGTTTTCAGGTGAGGAAAGAAAACTTTGGCAGGCATGGATTACACATGCAATTAGAGGGGGTTCTTTGTATTTTCTTCATTTACGAAAAGTTTAAATTTTTTTATGTTTTCTTTTCTTTCAATTGTTTCTTAAAACTTAAAGAAAAATTATTTTTTTCCCCTTGGGGTTGGATTTCAAACGTCCATATAAAGACTTTTGGGGGAAAAGGAGCAGAGGCAATATTGTTTATGAGCCATCCATTTTTTAAAGTGTATCTGTAACACGTTATTTTGATAAATGGAATTCAATCTGGGTTTTTTTGCACAAAGTACATTATGTTATGATGGTGATAATTTTTACCAATAGCATGTTAGAAATAAATTTCAATTATTTATTTGGTGGGGGGATGTATGTGAAGTTTGGAAGTATATGCAATATTCTGTATTTCTGCATGCTGTTTGTCACTTGTCACTTAATTACATCTGTTTGTAAGTCAATACTTTTGACCGTGAAAATAATTTCAAGTGGTATGTTGTTGGTTTTTTTCCTTTGTTCAGGTGTCCGAATTGGGACGTATTGCCAGCCACTACTACATCACCAACGAGAGCATGGCTACGTACAACCAGCTGATGAAACCCACACTGAGTGAGATTGAGCTGTTCCGGGTCTTCTCCCTGTCCTCTGAGTTTAAGTACATCTCTGTCCGAGAGGTAAGTTTTTGTTTGCTCGTTGTATGACTTTGTTGCTAGAACGTCATCATGTTTCCAGGCGTGTTAATCTCTTCAGTAACATAATGGTGTTTGTAGATAAAGAGTAAGCTGTATCAGGATACTTAAAAACTATTTATTCGGTTATTTTCAGATAGGCCTTGTATTATAAGAGTTTCAGCTATGTGCAAGTATTTTCACATTACTGAAACACTCTCATAATTAACTCACACTTTTTGTTTAGTTGTTTTTTTTTTCTACTCATACTTTTACTTGTCTCAAATATTCTAGACATTTTGGAAGAATATTGCAATCTTTTGGTCTAGGAAAAAATATTTTAGAGAAAAAATAAACTGTTGAGATAAAATGTCTTAATAGTAATGGCAGTAGAGTTAAATATTCTTGTGGAAAGTGTCCTGTGTGGAATTTCAATTTTATTATGGGCACTTGTTTCCTGTGGGTTTTTTCAATGGTTTATTTTGTGTGTGTCTGTGTTGTTATCAGGAGGAAAAACTGGAGCTGATGAGACTGTTGGAGAGGGTCCCAATTCCAATCAAGGAGAGCATTGAAGAACCCAGTGCAAAGGTATGTTGTTTATTGGTTGTTGGATGTCAGAGTTTGAATTAGTTTTATTGTTTATTCTCAATAGAATTAGCAGTTCTCATCAATTCCATGTTGCCTCTCATCCTTTTCTTTTACCTGCAAGTGGTAGGAGGGTGCCCCTGGTGGGTCTTACTTTTGTACTATGATAATCCATCATCTTCATTTCTATAGCACCCACTCGCTTATGGCTCAAGACACTTTGTCTTTTCTTAATTTAGTGTAAATTTCAAGATAAAACATACTTTTGTAGTAAATGACACTTATAGCACATTACTGCAATACAGGCTTTAACAAGGAGCCAATGTATTGTAAAAGCAGCGGTGTTGTGTCTTTACTGATTTGCTGATCTGGTATGAAATATGGTGTCTGAATCAAATAATTTTCAACTCTGTATAAAATCGTTATCACATGACGTTGGAGTTGCCATCTTGTCTTACACCTGCGAAAAATAAAAAGAAAGAAAGATAATTAAGATTTGTGAGTGATGTCAGTGTTTTACATTTTTTTTGGTGGTGGGTTGGAGGGCATCTCTGGTATGTTCTATTCCATTACTTTCTCTCTGTTGTTTCTGTCTGTTTGTCTTGCTTTTTCTTCAGCACTACATGATCACTTCTTTGCCGATGTACAGTCTGACAAATGCAAAAGATATCAGTCGGGGAATAACAAATTGGATGAGCTATGTGTGATTTTTCCATGTTCGTGTTATGTGTGCCCAACTGTATGTTCTTCTTTCTATTCAGATATTTTTGGGTAGTTGACGGGTGCTCTGGTGTGGTTTGCTCCTGCTTTCCTAGTAAACATCTATCGTCCTTATCTCTCCTTCTGTTTTATGTACTCTGCGCTCTTGTAACACCTCTTATCTTTAGTATTTATATGATCTAACTGTTCCAAGTGCCGTAAAACTTTAACTAAAACTATTCAGACATTTATTTGTGTTTTTTAATACTGTGTACAGGTAAATGTCCTCCTGCAAGCATACATCTCCCAACTGAAACTGGATGGCTTTGCCCTGATGGTAGATATGGTGTTCATCACCCAGTCTGCTGGTCGGTTGATGAGAGCCATCTTTGAGATCTGTCTGTACCATGGCTGGGCCCAGCTTGTGGACAAAGCCTTGGCCCTTTGCAAGATGGTGGATAAACGCATGTGAGTTTATCAGGATTCTGTTACCTGATATATATGGAAGGTGTCATGCACTAACGGCTACATCTGGGATTTCTATTTCTTTTTGGAACCCCTTTGTTTCCTTTATCAGAACTTTCTTACAGCTGTAAGGAAATACTTCATATCACTCAAACACAGATACAAAACCTGGTGTCTAAATATACATATTATCTTTTTTTCCCCTATATTGACATTTTTTTAAATGGATGGTTGAATGGCGCTACTGGTAGGTCCTACTTCATTACTTTCCCTGTGGTTTTTTTGTCTGACTGTCTTACTTTTCCCCAGCACTAAATGGCCATTTTTGTGTTAGTTTACATGAGCCGAGTCCATTTGTTTTTGACACCATCATTGTATTGTGGTAACCTCTTTTCAAGGGGAAGTTTTTTACATACATTCTATTTCTTCTGCTGTAGATGAATGTTGTACATAAATAAACATATTTGTATGTTGTCGCTTCACTTCTTGGAAAGTTTTTGAATATATTTTCTGTCGCTTCTCTTGTAGGTGAAATTTAACATATATGTTCTGTCACTTCTCTTCTTGGTCAAGTTTTTATGTAGCCTCCGAAAGCTGTTCAACTGTACCAAGACCAGAAAGCAATATTTTTTTAGGGGAGAGAAAAAACTGTTCAATTCTTTTAAAAAATTTTCAGTTTTGAACGGCTGGCCAACAATATATATGCTGTTACTTCTCTTCTAGTGAAGTTTTTTACAAATATATTCTGTTGCTTTTCTTTCAGAAAATTTTACATCCTTCTATTGCTTCTCTTCTAGGTGAAGTTTTACAAATATATTCAGTTGCTTTTTTTCTTGGTGTTTACATATATTCTGTTGCTTCTGTTTTACTTATTGTTACTTCTCTTCCAGGTGGCAGTCAATGACTCCTTTAAGGCAGTTCCGAAAGATTCCTGAGCAAGTAGTGAAGAAGATTGAGAAGAGGAACTTCCCTTTTGAACGCCTTTATGACCTGAATCACAACGAGATTGGTGAGCTGTTGAAGCTTCCCAAAATGGGCAAAGTAAGTAAAACAGTTGTCTCATGCTCGGTTGTAAGGACAGTTTTAAGTAAAACAAATATGACACCTGCTGGTTGTGAAGACAGTTTAAAGAGTCATCCCTTTCCTGGCGAGCAGCCATGTGCTGTTTTTGAAGTTATTCTAAATATTTTATTCTGATTAGTATGGTTTCAGTTTTGGGAAGGAAGGAATTTAGAATTTTGTCCAGATGGCGGCTTGTAGGGCCTACTCTTTTCAATTTTAGAACCACCAATGAATCTTTAACATACAAAACCCCCCACGTGGGACCTTATAAATTTTTTGTCCTTATTCAAGAAGATTAAGTATCAATTCTTACCTATCCTATGGTCAGGGAGTATTGAAAACATAATTGAAAAAAAACGTCACTGGCAAGGATTGAACTGCGGGTTGACAAGCGAAGACAATACCTGTTGAGCTACCGAGCCCCTTGAACATGTCCTCTCCACTAATGCTTTCACTGAGCATTTACATTCCTTTCTCTCTGTTTCAGCCTATCCACAGATACATCCGCCAGTTCCCACGGCTGGAGTTGTCCGTTCATGTCCAGCCTATCACCAGATCCACTCTCAAGGTTGAGCTCACCGTCACACCAGACTTCCAGTGGGAGGAGAAAATACACAGCAATTCAGAGGTGGGTTTTTGTTGACTTGAGTTAACTTTTTTGACTGCGGAGGCCCATTCCACTCTTAGATGGTGATTTTTGAGGATAGGGTTAAAAAATCATGGATCATACTGCAATGGTTAAGATCTTGGCTGATCAACTTCTGAAAATGTGAAGGGGTATAAATATTTAGTTTTTTAAAAGCTAAGTTGATGTTAAACCATTCTTCTGTTTGTAAGTTTGAAAGTCTTTTTAACGGGATAGATCTCCTTCATTTTTTTCTCCTTCTCTGTTTCACCAGGCCTTTTGGATTTTAGTGGAAGATGTGGACAGTGAAGCGATCCTTCATCATGAATATTTCTTGCTGAAGAGGTAAGTTTGAACTAGATAAAGATACACTGCATTAACTTGAATGAGCTTGAGTTTGTGTTCAACATGCATTCGGGCATAATAGTTGTTAATGAGTCTTTCAAGAGTCTTTGGGGGGGGAGGGGGGGGGGGGGGGGTTAAGTCTCTCCTTTTGAAAATAACTCACTGCACTGTTGAACAGTAATTCTGTCATGTGCAAGTATTTTTGTGTTTGATATAAGTTGCAGAAAATGTTGTCTTGTCATTTCTTCCAACTTGTACTAGGATTTGATTTTCTAAGATATAGATTTTTCCATCCAGTTTCTGACTCTTGTTTTCTCCCGTCTTTCAGCAAATTTGCTACTGATGAGCACGTCGTGAAGTTCTTCGTCCCAGTGTTTGAACCCTTGCCACCCCAGTACTTCATCAGAGTAGTGTCAGACAGATGGATTGGTCAGTGAAACATTACATAGTTACTAATTTGATTTAGTAAAGAATAGTTTTCTTCGGGAGAATGTCAAAAATAAGTGTAACAAATTTTTCTTTATGATTGTATTTGTAATTCATGTAAGTTTAGAAAGTCAAATTTTTTGCCTTTGTTTATCATGTTTTGTCCTGACCCTTGATGTTTTGGAATGGAGAGGCCTGGCTTTCTGCTTTTCTATAGATGCCTTTTTGAAAGTTTTGTGAGGTGAAGATTCAAGGAATTTGTATAATTAATCTTCATTTTTTATTCCATATTATTAAATGTGTTTTAGCGACATAATCAAGTCGTAATACAGCTGGCCTTTTCTACTTGGTAGTTTGAACTTTCTGTTCTTGCTGAAGGTGGTACAGAAGAGCCCAAGATCTCTGATTGAATGTAATGTTTCATGCTCCCATTGAAACAAATTTTGGTCTTTTGATAGACAGGCTGCTTTGTCCCTGCCTGTCAAAACACATCAGAAGACAGACAGAGATAATCAATAAAATAACATCTCCAACCTGGAAATCGAACTCGCATCTTATTTTCTATGCATACAACATCTTTGTTTTGTTTCATTTGCATGAGTAAAGAGAGAAGAGAAACACAGCGACACAATAACTGTAATTTTGTGCGGGGGGGAAAGCAAACCGATCAGACAGGAACAAAAGAGGGAAAGAAAGAAAAGAAGTAGGACCAAAACAGTGGTGCCCTTTAGTCACAGATGCTGGTTCTGATATCCTTACTCTTTATTTCCCTGTGTTTAAATATTAAGACTGATATTCTCTACTCCTCTTTCCCGTCTGTGTTGATACTGAGACTGATATCTTTACAACCCCCCCTTTTTTTTTTAGGTGCTGAGACTCAGTTACCAGTGTCTTTCCGCCATCTGATTCTCCCTGAGCGATATGCTCCTCCGACTGAACTGCTGGACCTGCAGCCTCTGCCCATCACTGCCCTGCGGAATCAGACATTTGAGACCCTTTACAGTAGCAAGTTTCCCATTTTCAACCCCATTCAAACACAAGGTAAGTAATAACCCAAATACAAAAATGGTATGCCCCCATACAGATACAACACACGCGAGCACACACACACACACACACACACACACACACACACACACACACACACACAAGGTTAGGGACTATTCTGCTAAGTGAAATACGACACTGCATAAAGAAAAATATTGAAATTAGATTGTGATGAGGCTCACAGCATACTTTTAACTTATTTTCATTATTATTATTATTATTATTTCTTTTGTTGTGTTTTTTTCATATGGTACAAACTTATAAGTCTTTCTTTCTTTTCTGTTTCCCTACCCCACCACCACCATCACTTCCAGTGTTCAACGCTATCTACAACAGTGATGACAACGTGTTTGTAGGTGCTCCCACTGGCAGCGGGAAGACAATCTGTGGAGAATTTGCTGTTCTCCGAATGTTCTCACAGAACTCTGAGGGCAGGTGTGTCTACGTGGCACCTCTGGAGGCTCTGGCACAGCAGGTAACATTGTCTTGTGAAGTTGTTGTGTACTGTTCTTCTAGTCAGTTGTCAGGATAAGTTTGTTTCTTGCCTCTACTTACCTGTAAAATATTGTTTGTGAAGTTCATGGGATTAAAATTTTCTAATTGTTCAGCTGTGGCCAGACAGCAGATGGGAGGAAAGCTAGTCTGTTTTCATATTTTTCTTTGCAAGTCGGTCTTTGTGGCTCTTCAAATTAAATTTTTTAAATCTCATAAACAGTAATTCAAAGGCAAAGAAATTAATGTTTATAGTTGTGTGATATCTTTGGTTGATGCTTATGTTGCTCACAAACTGCTATTTGTTTGGCTTTCAGATTTATGCAGACTGGTCTCAGAAGTTTGGTGCAGTCTTGGGGAAGAAGGTGGTCATCCTGACTGGTGAAACTGGCACAGATCTCAAACTGTTGGCAAAGGTGAGTTTATTTACTGACATGTTATTTCAAGCATGTTGTTTCATAACAGCTAATGAGTCTTTGTATGTCGTATGTTGATGAGGTTTTTAGCATCAAATTCTAATGGGGTTTGAACATTAAAACTTTGGTGAGGATTTGAACATCCGATTGTTTTGAGGTTTAAAACATACAATTTTTGTGAGGTTTTAGTTTTAAACGTTGAACTGTAATGAGGTTATGAAAAATTAGATTTTTTGAAAGTGTTAACCAAATTTTGATGAGGTTTTCAGTTAATATGAAATGCTATTATCAGCTTGTGTAATTCTTATATATATATATGTCTCACGTTATTTACGCTGTCCTTGTGCAAAAGACGTGTGATAAAATCTTCCATAATGGTAGTTGTTGTTTTGGTCATCAGGGCAACATTGTGATCAGCACGCCGGAGAAGTGGGACGTTCTCTCCCGGAGGTGGAAGCAGAGGAAGAATGTACAGAACATCAATCTCTTTATTGTGGATGAGCTTCACCTCATTGGAGGAGAGGCTGGGGTATGTTGTGTACACTTTTCTTGTCTGTCTTTGGAAACTGGATCTTGTAATGATGACTAGAGCCCATACTGGTTGGGCTTTTTGTCTCATAAGAGAAAGATGTTGTGTTCAATTCCAGAGTGAGGAAGTATATTCTTTTGTCTTCCTGGTTAGATGCTGTATCCCACTCAATCCAAGTTGACCCTGACAAGCAGCGTTGAAAACATGCTTTGTAAATGGTCTATATCATGACAGCCTGGTCATCAAATATTCACATTTTATTAATCATTATGATGTGCATCGAGCTTTTAAAGGGATAGAACTTGGATAATGTAGAAAAATGTATTTTGTGGAAAACATGCAAGGAAATGTTGTACTGTTTATAAGTCTTTTTTTAACCAAATGTCATCGTCTGCAAAGTGGTTCGAGGTTGACACGTATTATAGAACATCGCCACCGACACTAATAAAAACTTTTTGTTTGATTTCTGAAAGGTCTTTTAGAATTATCTTTTCTCTTATTCTTTGTGTTCAAAAGGTGTCACTCCCTGGAAATAGTTTTAAAGGCACATTAATGAAGAGGATACTGTTTCCATTTTTCCAAAATAGAGTTATGCAACAAGTTACAATTGGAAGAACTTGTTCTGTCACAGCAATGCAATGATAATTATATGTCTCAGATCAGAATGTTAAATCCTTTGACTAAGGGCCCATTTTTGGACAGGAATGTGACGTTTGTTTTTACCATTGCCTATGATTTACAATGTATTATGTAAAGGAGTGTTTCTTTTTTTAATACCCCATTCACTTGTTCCACTTCCAGCCTGTTCTGGAGGTGATTTGCTCCCGAATGAGGTACATCTCATCCCAGCTGGAGCGGAACATTCGGATTGTGGCCCTGAGCTCGTCTCTCTCAAATGCCAAAGACATCTCCCAGTGGTTGGGCTGCCCCACCTCAGCTTTTTTCAACTTTCACCCTAATGTGAGACCAGTGCCGCTTGAGCTTCACATCCAGGTGAGATTCTAGATTTTCTCTCTCTCATTCCCACCACCACCAATCCCCCCTTTTCAGTCTCCTCTCTCTCTCTCTCTCTCTCTCTCTCTCTCTCTCTCTCACCCACCCCCCCCCCCCCTTCCAATATTTATAATGTGCATTAGGTAATCAAGAGTGCTTGCAGGCTCTAGACTGTTCATTCTTTGTGTGTTGTGTTGTAGGGTTGGCTTTATACAATTAGTGCGAGAGTACTACTGTTTTGATTGTATGAAGACAATGCTTCCTTTTCAAGGTGTGTAAAATTCAGTGCTTACATCGATCATACTGTGTAAGGATTTTTTTAATGTGAAGAGAGTTTATTTTTCCCAATCCTTGGAATTTAGGAATATTAATTTTTATTTTCTTGTTGTTTCTACCTATCCCAGTCCTTTCCTTGTTTTGTGGCTACCAGAACCTATGAAATAAATTTTTCTTTCTTTTATTTTACCTTTTTCTGCACAGGGTTTCAATGTGTCCCACAATGCCTCTCGCATCATTGCGATGGCCAAACCCACATACCAGGCCATCATGCGACACTCCCCGAAAAAGCCGGTCATCATTTTTGTCCCGTCCCGGAAGCAGACCAAACTAACGGCCATCGATGTCCTGACCTGTGCAGCCGCAGAGATGCAGGCTGGGATAGATGAGAAGCCACACAGCCGGTTCTTGCACGTCACGGAGGACGATCTCACACCGTTCCTGGAGAAAATCAGTGACCTGGTCAGTACAGACATGTGTTTTCTTTACTTGTTTGTCTCCTGTGTCAGTGTCCTTGTCTTGTTCCCTCTCTTTTATTTGTTGTTGCAGTTGGTTGAAAGGCACCAGTGGTAGGTCCTACTTCTTAACTATCCCTATTTTGTTTTAGTCTGTCCTGCTTTTCTTCTGCGCAAAGTGACTTGTATTTTATCAGTATTCTTCCCTTTACTTAAACAATCAGTGTCCTTGTCTTGTAGACGCTTCCTAATACTACTGTGGGTGGTTGTAAGATGTCACCTGTGGGTATCGCGTTTTCTTTTACTCTTTTGCTTTTCTCCGTCTGTCTTGCTTTTTTTGTTGTGACTCTAAATGGCTGTTATAGTGCCAGTGCGCTTCTCTTTATTCAAAGAAAATTATGTATATATTTGTGTCTCCTGTCTAAATGTTCTTGTTTTATTCTTATTTGTTGGGGTTGGTTGGAGGATGCCACTGGTAGTTTGTATTTCTTTACTTTCCATCTGTGGTTTATGTCTGTTTTACTTTTCCCATGTGACATTAAATGGCCGCTATTGCGTCAATGTGCTACTCTTTACTTAAACAAACCTGTCTCAGCGTTGTTGTCTTGTACACTTCTGCTTACTTGATTTTCTTGTCTCCTGCCCAGACACTGAAAGAGACACTGGCCAATGGAGTGGGCTACCTGCATGAAGGTCTCAGTGAGTCCGAAAGAAAGATTGTGGAGCAGTTGTTCAGCTCAGGGGCTGTGCAAGTGTTGGTGGTGGCCCGGGATCTCTCCTGGGGCATCTCTGTGTCGGCCCATCTGGTGGTGGTCATGGACACACAGTACTACGACGGCAAGATGCACTCGTAAGTGAATGGCTTATTTGGTGAATCATAATGTTGATTTGGGTTTTTTTAAAGCATACCCATTGTTTGTCTGTGAACCATTCCCTGGTTACTTCTATTCTCTCCCTCTGATATTTCTACTTTAGTTCTGTCTGGGTTTTTCCCTGCACTTAATGGCTGTTCTCTTGTCTTTGTGCTTCTCTTTACTTAAAAATAGCAAACCGTATAGCATTGTTGTTAATGTAATGTATTTAGTTTCTTCATGGTATTTTACTACTTTTTATGAGGAAAGGAGAAAACGGTTTCCTTTTAAAAAACGTGAAGGTAGACGTGAATTTCCTGTGAAAGACAAGCTGGTAGCTTTGAATGTAATATTTGTTTTATTAGATATAATTTATAAATTGTACCTACTGTCATACAAAGCCTCTCGTCTTTTGATATGCAGGCTGTTCTTATTTTAAATATCGTGCATAGTTGTGATGATTTCATTTTCTTATTTTTCTAGCAATGCTTTTTTCCTGCGCAATGCGGTTGGTTGGAGGGTGCCTTTGCAGGTACACCTTTATATCACTCTAGTTTTTGTTTGTTTGTCTATCTGTCTGTCAGTCTTGTCTGTCTTGTTTTTCCCAGCACTGTATGGCCATAATGTCTATCATGTACTTCCTGTTACACACGCACAAATTGTGCAATTTTTTTTAAGAGCAAACAAGTGTGTTGCTGATCATGATTTATTTTTTTCCTGTTCTGCTCAGCTATGAAGACTATCCAGTGACCAATGTTCTTCAGATGGTGGGGAAAGCCAACAGACCACAGATTGACCAAGAAGGTGAGTTGGGTTTTTTTTTGGTCATGTGTCCCTTTATTTGATTCTGTGTGATCTCACTTGTATCTAACAGTCATTAACTATGAGAATATGAGTAATGAAAGGCAATGATGTTTCAACAAGAAGAAACAAAAGAGGATAGAAATATTAATGTTTAAATCTAATCATTCTTTTAGTTATTGTTGCTCATTCTAGCGCCCGCCCCCCTCCCCAGGCAGTCCTGGAGGGTATGATTCTCTTCACATTGATTTTGAAGCTGTTTGTCACTGACCATTCTTAATGTAGAAAGCCAAAAACTCATATGAGGGCTGCTGTTAATTGTGATGTTTTTCTGAAGTTAAATGCCTTGTTATTGTGTGGACGTGCTTTTCTTTACTCAAGCACACTAGAAAATTTTCATATTTTGTAAATTGTTTGTTGTCTTTCCAGGTAAAGCCGTCATCATGTGCCAGAGCTCAAAGAAAGAGTTTTTCAAGAAGTTCTTGTATGAACCCCTTCCTGTGGAGGTAATGAGAAAATTGCTTGTGAAATGATAAGTAGAATGAATCAGTGTGTGAGAATGTGTATTCATATCCTTTAATTGTTGGGCTATTTGCATTGTCCAATAATTTGGGGGGGGGGGGGGGGGATTTAGGTTTTTTTTCTCTCTCTCTCCACTGTCTGTCTCCCTCTTTCTCTCTCTCTGAGCTCTAATAATGCCTCTAAATCTAATCTTCTGCACTTATATGATCCATTTGTATTGCAAATATTGTAAAACGCTTGCTAAAACTACAAAAAAAAAGAAAATTTTCTCTCTTTATTTTTTAAAATATTTCATACATTTTTCTTGTAGAGTTGTGAAAATTCAAGTACAGCTGTATGTCAAAAATTAAAAAGTTGGTCTGTGTAGGGCTTAAAACAGTTTTTCTTTGGGGGGGGGTTTCGGGGGGGGGGGGGGGCAAAAACAACTTGAGGCTTTGAAGGCTGAATAGGCATGTGATTGGGTAGGTTGTGGGCATCAGACTTTTGTACAAAAATGATGTGATTGTTCTTGTTCTAGAGCCACCTTGACCACTGCCTTCATGACCACTTCAATGCGGAGATAGTGACCAAGACCATTGAGAACAAGCAGGATGCCGTGGACTACCTGACCTGGACCTTCATCTACCGCAGGATGACACAAAATCCCAACTACTACAACCTGCAAGGTCAGTCTCTTCTTCTACTTTGTCTTTTGTTGAACGAGGCACAGAAACTTCCCAGTCTTTGTTTAGAGTAGTTTTTTGGGGAGAGCGGTTAAAACATTCGTTTGCTTATGGAATGTCACACTGGCAGTTGATGTGTTGCAGTTAGGCATTTCGCTGTCTCATGCAAAAGATATGAGTTTGATTTCTGCATGGAGAAGTTGGTTTTTTAAAAATAATTGTGTTGAACATCTCAATCTGTCTGTAGGGGATTTTGTATCTCTTTCAGCTTAGGTCAGCCCTGATAGGCAGGGTCAGTGCAGCTTGTCTCCTAAATAATCTAGATTGTGTTTATGGGGGGTGTAAAAGAATAGCCATAACTATTTGATTTGGATAAATGTCACAGTTAATCACTGCGATTGTCTACTGGTATAGCCTTGAATGATGGGTTGAAATGTTTGTTACATATTTCTTTTCTGTATTTTCCAGGTGTGTCTCACAGACATCTCTCTGATCACCTGTCTGAAATTGTGGAAAACACCATCAATGACTTGGAGCAGTCTAAGGTATGTATTCCGCTGTCCTTTTGGTGTCATCATGACATCAGTTTTGATGTTTTGCTTCTATGATTAGAATGAAACTACTTGTGTCTGTGGTGTAATGGTAAGGCCCTTCATCTTCGCATGCAGAAGACACGAGTCTGATTCCCATGTGGAGAAGTAATTTTATTTAGTTTCTCACTCTGCTTTGATGTTGTAACCCATTCAGCGGGGGTTGGCCCAGACAGGCATGGTTGAATTAAAATCAGGGTACGATATGACTTTTATAGGCAAGAGGGATCGGCTGTGTAAGTTATAATGTCAGAGGTAATAAAGTCTTGTTTGTTTATCACTTGTTTGTTTTTCCCAGCATACAAAAACAATATGCTCTATGATTTACAGTGCTTAATTTTTTAATAGTACGGGTAATAATCTTGGATAAGAATGCTTACGAGTGATTTGTATGAATTGTCATAAGGGAAATAGAAATACTGTAAAGGAGTTTAGTAGAGAGGAGCTCATCAACGCTTAACACTTTGCCATCACAAGGCTCATATAATAAAAACCCTTGCCATCAAATGCAAAGGCATTTTGGGGAAATTCCAAAGAAACTGGCTGGTAAACATCGCCGATCGGCGAGATATGATGGCAAAGTGTCATTTGGTGTAGGGAAAAAGCTAGATAGAAACAACCTACTAGTGAGGCCCTCTAACACTCTTTGTGTGATGGATGGATGGGGGGTGAGGGGGGGTTCTAGTTCTGTTTATTGAGTATGTTCAATTTGACTGAGGTCTTACAGTTCTATTTCCTGTCTGTTTCAGTGCATCAGCATAGAAGACGACTTTGATGTTTATCCACTGAACTTGGGCATGATTGCAGCGTACTATTACATCAACTATACCACAATTGGTGAGTTTTATTCTGTATTCAGCATGAACATTGTTACGGCTGTAAGTAGAATTTGGGTTTTCTCTCATGTTGTACATCGTTACGGCTGTAAGTAGAATTTGGTGTTTTTCCCATGTTGTACATTTTCTGCTTTTCTTTTAAGAGTGGTTGATATTATTATCATTCTTGTTGATTTTAGCAAATGTACTTCTTTGTTGGTAGTTCCTCATTAATAACTCCTATTAGCAGAAAGTTCATTTGTTGGAAAGGACCTCCAGGTTTTACTTCTTCTTTTTTTCTTCTCTCTTGTTTCTGTCCGTCAGTCTTGCTTTTTTCCAGCCCTAAATTACTGAGGAAGGATAAAGAAGTTGGATCTATCAGTGTCACCCTCCAACCAACTGCCAAGTAGTAGCATTGTAATCAGATTTATATGCTCACAAGGGAAAACCCTCAATGTGGCCTTCTACTGTATTGTTTCTCTTTTTTTTTCTTTTTCAGAACTGTTCAGCATGTCTTTGAACAGCAAGACGAAAATTAAAGGTCTCATTGAAATTGTGGCCAACGCAGCTGAGTATGAGAATCTGCCCATCCGACATGGTGAGACGGCCATCTTGAAACAGGTACAAGATTACTGTTCATTTATGATTAAAAATCTGAAGAATACAAACTTTTTTTTACCGTTCTTCTTACTTCTTTTTTTTTAGTTTTAGCTTTCCCACTGGTGTTTCTGTACATCTGTCTCACTTTTCCTCTGCACTTAATTGCCACTATTGTGTTTATTTGCTTCTCTTTACTTGAATGAAACAAAACTGAATCTTAGTTTGTGTGTTGTGGCCACTCTTCTTAACTACAGGTATCTGAAGAAAAAAAAGCCTTGGCTTTATGAAGTTTTCTGTAGAATAATGTGTGGGATTAGCAAGTGTCTGAGAAATCTTAACTCTCCATAATTTGTACAATCATTTATTATGGACAGCCTCTAAAGACAGTGAAAATAAAATAGAAGCAATAGAAGTGTGGTTTCTTAGGAGATTGCTAAGAGTATTGTGAAAGGAAAAGAAATCAAATGAGGTAGTGCTTGATGAAGCCCACGTGGGACGCTCAATGTTGAAAACAATCAGGAAACGACAAATGCAGTTTTTGGGACTCCTGAATAGACATAAGGGTTTTGAACATCTAGCTTTCAGTGGCAAAATTAAAGGCAAACGAGGCAGGGGTAGGCCCAGAACTATCTACTTTGGGAACTTAAACAAATGGGTAACAGGGAAAGATCAGGGAAACATAGCTTTTTGAGAGCATCCGAGCACAGGAATGAATGGAGACCCATGATCGTCGATGTCTGTCGCAGATCTGGCACTGGATGATGACGATAATGATTTATTATGAGGTTTATGAATATGAAAATCTTGGCAACTCAGATTTTGTGCAATAATGATGAAGTTGGCAGTTATATTGCAGAACGTGATGAATCATTGTGCAGATGTGTAGAACATTGACCAATATGTATATATTGGTGCAGTAACATATGAGACTGACAAATGTGTAAGCAGACTTGACAGTATGTTTTGTCAAGGTGGTTGTTGGTGTATATATGTTGCATAGTGCATGTGTTTGTTGCTTGGTTAAAGTTTCTTCTAAATTTTTCTTGTCTTTTTTTTTTTTTATCAGTTTGGAACTCGTTTACCAAACAAAATGACAAATGCCAAGTTCAACGACCCTCATATAAAGACAAATTTGTTGCTGCAAGCTCACCTGTCTCGTATGCAGCTGTCAGCAGAACTGCAGAGTGACACAGAGGAAATTCTCAGCAAGGTAACAGGACTCTCATTTTCATTTGTGTTGTTTGGAGGGGGGGGGGGGGGGGGCATGTTTATGCTTAGTAAATGTTTTCCTTTGGTCATAATATTGATTATGAAAATCTCATGGGTAGGCTGTGAAATACTGGACAGAGAGTTTTGGGGTTTTTAAAAAATCTAGTCTAGTCTTATACTTATGTCTAACAGTGTTAGCTTTGGTTAACCTTGATGTTACATTTTTACATTTTTTTGTATGAATTACCATTTGTTCATTTAGTCAAGTGAAGTAATGAGTACTGTACAGCATTTTTTTTGGTCTTTTAATTTTAAAATGCTAAAAAAAATAATTAAAATAATGATCTCTATTTTAAAACTAGATTATATTTATTTTGAAAAAATTGTTGTTTTTCAGGCCATCCGGTTGATCCAAGCATGTGTGGATGTGCTGAGCAGTAACGGCTGGCTGAGCCCTGCCCTTGCGGCCATGGAACTGGCCCAGATGGTGACACAGGCCATGTGGTCTAAGGACTCTGCTCTTAAACAACTGCCTCACTTCACTGCAGACATCATCAAACGCTGCCACGACAAGGTGAAAAAAAAAGTCACTTAATTTTAACCATTTAGCACCAAGAGGAACATTGTGCGGAGTCAGTCTATTGGCACCTAGAATCACTTTGCCTTACATTTCAATTGGCAAATGCGTGGCGGACACCCGACGCTGCATTTCTATCAGGTCTATGAAGGATGATTAGGATGACTGAAAACGGAGATACAGAGTGAAAATTTTCATTCTTTGAGTTTTTGAATGGTCCAAATTGACCAAGAAATGGCGCAAGTTTGAATTTTTAAAGTAAATATGATAATTTGGAGGCTGCAGTGGAGTTGAAACTTGGACAAAATCCAAGAAAACTGAAAATACACGAAAATTCAGCTGATGAAATAATCTTAATCAAAGACATGTTGAAAGTTCAGTTCTAGGTCTACCATGATATAACATATTTTTAAGGAGAGGAGCGACCCTTGATTTTGCCGATTTTTGGTCAGGCTATGCACATTGAGATGTTGGCTGATTTTTTAAGATTAACCAGTTCTTTGTCTAAAAATAGCATTGAGACAATTGAGAAAGTCTTTATTCTCCTCGTAAATTGCTTTTGAAAACAGGAGGGTGGGTTAATGTGGTGAATTTTCTCAATATTTGTTGTTTTTCGCAAAATGTCATTTTTTGGCTGTTTTTTCCCTACTCCTTCCTTAGTTTTCATCCTTTTGACATGAAACTTTCGGGAAACATAGATGCTGCCATCTATGTAACAGAGAGATATTTGCGAAAAAACTAACACTTTACAATTGGCAAGTGATTATGCAACCTAAATTTAGACAAGTTTTTTTTAATATTTTGGGAAAATTCTCACTTTTTTTTTCTTTTGCACTTATTGAAAAAAACTCGCTGTTACGCTCATAGGGTCTGGTTCAGGTATACTCTCACCAAATTTGGTCAGTAAATAAAAAAGCCTTGGGGATTTGAAATTTATTGTTTATTTTCAAGATGGCGGCCATTTCCATAGCAATCGAGGTAGCTATGCCAAAATAAAATTGCGTAGCAAGAGATTTTACTATGCCTGACTTATATATGTGTACTTAGATTTGATCTTGGGCAATAAACATAGAAAATGGTCCTCAAGGGTCGCTCCTCCGGTTAAGAGGAGTTGGTTATTTTTTTTATGTGACAAAATAGGTGGCTAATGAATGAAAACTCAATAGTCACATCTACAATGGGAGAAGTAAATGAAACCTTGTCGATCCAAGGGAGGTAAGGTGCACTAGTTCTGTAAAGGGGAGTGTAGCTTTAAAGGGTTAAGCGTTATTGTGTATGCGGTGGAGTATTTGTTATATATGCCTCTTCTATGACATTTACCTCATCAAGATGGAGTACGTTGGTATCTAAAGGAGACCAGTGATGGGTCCTATTTTTTGCTTTCCCTTAGCTGTTTTTGTGTGTCCGTCTTGCATTTTCTCACTCTGAGCAAAAAAGTGCCTCTCTCTTCAGCTCAAACAAACATGATAAAACTGCTATTTCCAGAATCTGGAGTCCATCTTTGACATCATGGAGATGGAGGATGAGGAGAGGAACAGCCTGCTGGAGCTGTCTGAGTCGGACATGGCTGACGTGGCTCAGTTCTGTAACAGATACCCCAACATCGAGCTCACCTACGAGGTCCAGGACAAAGACAGCATACACAGGTAGAGTGGGAGGAAGACAGCCTCTTCTCTTTACAACATTGGAACTGAAAATGAATGAATTTTGGGGGGGTTATATTACATTTTAGCCTAACAAGATGTTAGACTTAGTGAGGCAAAATTATTAATTTTTTTTCGTTTGTATCAAATGTCTAATGAAGTCGAAGGTTTTTTGTTTTATTTGTTGGTTGTTTTTGTTTTGTTTGGGGTTTGTTGTTGTTTTGTGTTTTTTTTGGAGGGGGGGGGGGGGGGGGGGGGCTTTCTTTGTCTTGCAAGTTTCTCTAAGGTTAAAAAACCTTTTTGTTTTTGTCTACTTTTTTTTTACTGTCCTTTTGTTATTTCTGTGTGTTGTTTTGCTCTTTTATGACTATTGTTATATTGTGTCTCAGCTTTTTTTCTTGACGTAAAAAAAAACTTGTTCTTGTCTCTCCAGCGGCTCCAACATTAATGTGACTGTGACCTTGGAGAGGGAGGATGAGATCACAGGACCTGTCCTTGCCCCATTCTTCCCTCAGGTGAGAAAGAAATCACAGGCAGTCATGATGGTCTTAGAGTAGGACAACTCAGATCCCAAACTGCAAAGAAGCACAACATTTGAAAGATGCTTACATTCTGCATGTTGTAAAATCCAATTTTGTTGAAATGGTTATGTTTCCTTTTTTTTTTTTAAATCATGCTTGTTCCCTTGGAATTTTTTATGCCCACTGTTGAAGTGGAGCTTGAAGAATAAGTTATCTGCTTAATTATGAAGTCAAAAATATTTGAAAACATGTTTAAGTTATTCAGTGCCCTTGTCAGTGTACCATTGAAAACCACATCTTGCCTTGTACAGTGGAACTCTGATTCAATGAGCTCGGATTCAATGAGAACTCGGATTCAACGAGAACTCGGATTCAACGAGAACTCGGATTCAACGAGATGAGATAGGTTCCCTGGGGTTTTTTTTCTTTTTTAAAATCAATAAAAATAACCCTGATTCAACGAGCACTTAAATCAGCGAGCTCAGATTCAACGAGGTCGTTTCCAGGATGAACAGCCCCTGCAGACGTGGCTTCGCTCATTTTTCTACCAGAACGAACTTTATCTATTCTCGGAAACCATCCATTGCACCTGTATCGTGAACTTTTATTCACTTAGCCGAGTGCTTGCGACCAATCTGCAGCTTCTTTTCAAAACAACACATGCGTTGTTGACACGCCCACGTGTCTATTCTAGCGTGTGTCGGGGTCGGATGGGTGACCTGCACACGTGTGGCTGTGTGTGCGTATCGGGGAGGGGGGGGGGGGGGGGGGCACTAGTGATCCGGGCGTTGAATGTCGCAGATACAAACGCGTCACAGTCTTGTTTTCCCCCCCAGCAACTGATCATTATTACAACGATAAGCTGGTCTTGACGTAGATCTACGTAATGAATTGTGCGCTGGTCTATGGAATCAAAAGTTGCCGTGTGCTAGTTTGTACATAGCAACACAACTTTTTGGTAAACAATCGAGATGACACAGGCGTGTGCATTTGAACGAATCAGTCTTTTTTTTTTACACTGCTCATAATATGCAGGCATTTCAGGCACTACTTGTGACTTCTCTTTACACATTACTTGCTCAGTGCCTGTAATTATCTACGCTAAACCTCATGTTTGCTATAACGAACACTCGGCTTCAACAAGATTTTAGGTCAGGCCCGGCGACCTCGTTGAATCCGAGTTCCACTGTATATGACACACTGAGAGCTGGAGGTGACTTGTCTTGATTCTTTCTTCTGAGACAAATTAATTTTTATGATAAGTTAGGACAGAAGACACTAGGATATAGATACATCTGGAATTGTGGCAGTAACAAAACTGCTGAGTAGATTAGTGTAGCATTCAGGTAGGATGAAATGTCACCGGAATGGCTCAGTTTTGTTCTTTAATTTGCAGTTTGGCCGAAAAGGACCTATTCTTTTCTGTCTCTTGTGTGACAAAAGGTGTCCTCACAATTACTAGATTTTGATTTTAATTGAAAACTTTTTCTCTACTCCTCCAGAAACGTGAAGAGGGCTGGTGGGTGGTCATCGGTGACCCCAAGACCAACTCGCTTCTGTCCATCAAGAGGCTGACCCTGCAGCAGAAGGCGAAGGTCAAGCTGGACTTTGTGGCCCCCTCCAACGGACGCTACAACTACTTCATCTTCTTCATGAGTGATGCCTACATGGGATGTGACCAGGAGTACAAATTCAGCGTGGATGTCAAGGAGGGAGAGAGCGACAGTGACAGCGATTAGGACATGCTCTATTGTCAGTGGCTACCTTTTGCTGTGTCTTTTTACTTGAAAGCAGACCTACCAATACTTGCTTGTGTATGAAATTTGTTTGTATGAAACTCTTGTTTCTTGTGTACGAGACGTGACTTGTTTGAGTGTAAGGTATGTGTGTTACTGTCACTTGCTGCTTGTGTATAAGGCATATGTACATATGATACTGCAAAGATTGTGGTATGACTTCTGAAGTGGGTGTGCTAACATTGAATACAGGTTATTATTTGTGTATCGGGGCAATATTTTTAGATGAGTTGAAGATGTGATAGATTACAGCAGGGTTTTTTTTCCTCTGCCTTCTTACTACTTTGAGTTTTAATATAATTATTCTACTGTGAATTCCTGGTATCGTAGTACTTGTTACTTCCAGACTTTCAGTATATTGACACTTATTGTAGGACAAAGGCATACAATGCAAATAGCAGACAATTAACTCACTTGCGACTGGGCCCTTTCACCAGTCACAAGCGTTGAAGACTGGCGTTTTGGGGGGTATTTCAATAAATCACCACAACTCTCAGAATTACCCTATTGTAATTATTTTTTGATACAGTAAAGTAACATTCAAGCTTAATCTAATACAAAAAACCAAAGTTGTCTAAGTTTAATACTTTAATTTGTATGATTTTTTAAAAATTGGCATGAATTTGATTTTCCAAAAAATTTCCAGAGACGTGACAAGTGGAATGAAATTCACTACAACAACAAAAATAAAAGTTCAAAGTGTTCTGGTTTGATTTGTATACATGTGCGAGTGTTTGGTGAATATATAAAAGCTGGTCTGTGCATTGATTCAGACCCATACACTGAATTACATGAGACAGATGTACGGCACGACGTTGTGATTTCGTTGCGCGAAAAACAACACCGGTACTAGTGCTAGATCTAGCCCTAAAACTACGACTCGGGCCGTGTTCAGGTACATATCCAGGATCCTAACTATTAGACACATCATATTCTGAGACACTAAAACTAGTAAAACGTACAGAAGTATAGAAAACGGCGAAATTATGTGATTCTGGTTCATGCGACTTCTTCGACCGTTACTACGACGCGACTGTCGGATTACTATGAGCTGTATAGAAAAAAACAAAGCGCGAGTTCCAGTCTGTTCAACCCCAGTTGAGGTCACTGTCCTTCACCTTCAATAACTTAAAAACTACCGGCCCCAGAGATACGAAACGAAGTCTAGGTAGCTCAGGCTTGGCCAAACAAGGGTACGAGGCGGGTCTCGCGATCCGTGCGTGATTTGTAGAGCGAAAAAAAAATTCCAAAGTTGGTCACGCAGGGCTCGTGTGACCCGTCGCGAGCGTCGCGGCGGGGGTCACGCAACTGTTGTGTGACCCGTCTGAAGTGAGTTAATATTGATTGTGTATCTTGCATCCAGATATAGTTGTCGGGGGGGGGGGGGGGGGGTACTTTTCTCTCTCATATCATTGCTAATATTCTGTTGATAGTATTATTGCACCCTTGTTACCACTTTTTATTTCCATGAAGATTATAATAATATAGAACCTGTAAGGGACTGGTGATTGTCACTGGTTTTGTTCATCATGAAAGTTGCTGGACCTTTTGTTCTTATCGTTCCTGGTTCCTTGCTATTTTGTACTATCATTTTTCTCAATTTAATGTTGTTTATGGTTTGTGGAAAGTGTTACAGCATTTTTTTATTCCGGGAGTTGTGTCCTCCCGCCATGATTAAATATCAATATGCTGTGGGATTAACACAGATTTGTGGTGGGTGTAAGATAATCATGGGGGGAGGGTCTTAGATAATTTAGAAAGCTTGAAATACTGATGATAAAGATGTGAGAGAAACACATTTTTCTTTCTTTAAAGCAAGAAAGTCTTTAATGTAATTCAGAAAACATGAATTTATGAGGCAATTTATGCAGTTACGAGCACAGCAAAACTTCTACTAAAACAAACAAGATTGTACTGAATGGTTACACTTACAGTGATCATAAAGTGTGATATATATTGCCTTTTATAGACCCGTTCCAATTTACATGCCCAATCCCTTGCTAGACTAAGGCCGCATGCCCCAGATCTAAACACATGAAAGATTTTTGCCACAGATGTACTTGAGGGTTCTATTGAGGTTTATACCTGGATGGGGGGGGGGGGGGGGTCCTTGGATGTTTACTTACTGAGTTGCCATCCATCGTTCACATTGAACAAATTTTATCAAACTGTATGTTGAGACAGAATATTTGATTTTGTAGGAATAAACATGTATGAAAAAATCAGGCAATGTCTTGTTTATTTATATATTTATTGGTATAAGGATTTTTAAAATTTTGTGTAAAGATTGTAGTGCAAGCCTGTGGAATGCCCACATCCCCAATGTTGGTATGTACGAAGTGGGGGGGGGGGGTATGAATGGAAGGGCATCTGTGGCCTTTAAGGAGGGTGATTACCTCTCATCATAGCTGAGATGTCTGTTGGGTTTGATGTCATTTTTTTAAACAGGCTCCCTCAATTGGTCATATCAATTTATTGAAATTGATTGAACTTGGCTACTGGCTTTGTACTTTGAGAGTGAACTTAGCACTCACACACACACACAGACACACACACAACACCACCTATGAAGCAATTCAGGCACCTAGGCCTTTGAAAATTGATGAAGAGCTGGCCTGATATGCCATTTTTGTATAGTTATTTCTTACTTAAAATTGGATAAACTCTTCTTTGTGCAGAAATAGTACCTTTGGAAATGACTGGTACCGAGAGACTCTACCTATCGGTTATAGATAATGTTTATAAATTGTATTTGTGTTCAGGATGCCCTAGCCACTGCTGACCAGCGTCTGTTGTGTCATAGTTAGGATCTTTTGATACACACTGAAAACGTGAGTTGAATTCCAGGGTGGGAAAGTTTGTATTATACCTCAGTACTTGAACATTTTTAACCTCACACCTCATAAGGCAATATCTTAATGATTACCTATCGGATCTATCTGAAAGTTTCAGATGAGACAGTGCTTTCATTTTGCCTCAAGGTTGCGAAGTTAATAATGTTTTTAATTTTCAATTTTGAACTTATAGTTGTCAGGGGTCTAAATGAAAAGTGACTGCTTTCAGTAACGTGTGATGACATTTGGCGTTGTTCACATTTTCACATCATCAACACGTGGAAGGGATGAATCGAGGCATTGTCTATTGAGGAATGATATTCCACTCTTGAATTAAGGCTTGTTCTAACTGAGCAATGGACTGGGGCAGGCGTGGTCTGGCCTGAATGGCGTGATCTAAAATGTCCCGCAAATGCTCAATTGGAATGAGATTTGGTGAATGCGCTGGTCATGGGTGGCGTAGAGGAATGTTGTTAGTTTTGAGAAATTGATTTATCACAGCAGTCTTATGGTCAGGTGCATTATCATGCCTGAGTACTTGGGCTTGAATTTGAAAGTAAAGTACATTGGCCTCGAGAACTTGGTTGATTTAGCCTTGAACTCTTATGCTCCTACGAACAGACACAAGCGTGGTCTCACCAACATCACTGTTTCCAGCCTACAACATAAAACAGCCTCCACCAAAATTATTTGCTTAGTCTGAAGCAAGCTGGGATGTAAACTTTGGTTGGGTCTTCTGTAGACTCTGGCCTGTACATAGTGCCGTTCCAGTCGAAACTTGGACTCATCTGAAAACATCTACGTATTCATTTCAAATACGATGTGGCCATCACATGCTCTGTGAAGTCTGTGCTCGGTTTGATGGAGCTGCACTTTTATACGACAAACTAGGCCCCCAAGCATGAAAAAAAAGCAAAGAAAAACAGTCATGTCAGCCGAAGCATGGTGAATCGATAAAGAGAAGCCACATTTTTTATTTATGTGGCGTAAAATATGGAAGGAATCCAACTTTGTGTGTGTAGTTTTTATTTTCAAAGTTACCCTCAAATTTTTGCAGTATTTGACAAAATAGCAAAACCCCGTGAACGACATCATCAGATAAAGCGATAGACGAGTGCACCTTAGTGAGTACCCTTTTACGGCCCCATCAACACAGTGTAGGTGGTGAAGGGGACTTTTGCGTTTTCAGTAATGCTGACGACCTGTTCGTTGGCTGAGAATATTATGTCAAAAAGTCAAAGCTCAGTCCAAGGTACATTATTATTCGTGTTTCCCCCTCTTTTACTTTCCAAGCATCATTCTCTGATCCTATATTATTGTACTACATAAACATTTGACATCTTCTATTCGGACTCTCAACAAACTCATCTCTGAGCGGGTGGTTGGAGGGCACCACTGGTAGGTATTACTTATTTCTTTCCGCAACACAATCGGACACCACGGAAGTGGGCGTGGGTTCGAATCCCATTTCAAATACCAAGTTCGTCACGTAGTCCGTGTCTATCAAATCACCCAAATAGTAGCCTTACACCTTGTCACACCTTGTCCTCAGTGTTAGGATCACTACAGTCGGAAGACGTCCATCTCTGCCCCACCCCCCACCCCCCCCACCCCCCACCCCCTCTTCAGGAATCACCAGAGAGTCTGTCTGCTAACAGTCTCCATCATAATCTGGTTGGAGATCCGTCGGACAGGTCCGCACAGGTGGCTGTGTTTCCCTTCTCCTCTTTGGTTCAATCTACATAGGGTGTGGGAACCGCTATCTGCCTTACCTATTCTTCCTCAAATTTTCCCCTACAGCGGTTAGGACAGTTTGTGGGTCCAGTGTCAAATTCCCTCCCACTTTTGCTTCTCCAGCCACCTTGTCTGCTCTCTCGTTGCCGGTTATCCCTGCGTGCCCCGGGCAGAAGATCCAGACCACTCTTTCCAGGCTACTCTCCCTGATCGTAGTCTTCCACAGTTCGCATACAACATCCCTTTCTGTACCTGTAGTGTGATAATAGAATCAGTAATGATTACTGCTCGCTGATGGCTTGGGTTCTTGATCCAGTGTAGGGCCTCACTTGTGGCTTTTTATCTCCATGCACGTACTGCAGTAGCTCCGCTTTGCTCTTTCACAACTACCACATCAACTCTGACACTCAAGGCCCAGCCCGATTTGACTGATCTGTTGATTGATCCATACGTGAAGATCACAGCATCTCCATGTTCGGTATGCTCTTCTATTAGGGTCTCAATTTCAGCGTTTGTAGCTCCAAGTGGCCAATTGCGACATTCTCTACCCAATGTTGCCTTCACCGTTGTGTACTCTCCGAGCGTGTCTTCGACCACGACCCAATCCCTGCCTCTCCTGATGTTTTATATCTGGCAGCACTCGTTGATGGTATGTTCGTGGCTTGAGTCATCCATTATGTGCCCCTCTTTAGCCTTGATGTCATCTGCTGTTCCACTTTCTTATGTAAGGCCTATCTGTATATTGTATAAATAAGTGTACATGTAGCAGGCAGGCCTATAGAAGAACGACACAACAATGTAATTATCGAATCGGAGGACGAGTTTGAATTTTGTTGGGATATTAATTAAATATTTGGATAAAGTTTAATTTTTGCTCTTTTGAATAATAGCCTGTATAATATTATTATGTTATCTATCGTCTGCTTTCGTCTCCACCCCCCCCCCCCCCCCCCCACACCTTTTTTTTCTCCCTTCTCTGGGCTCCTTACTCTTTCTGCAGCCTTTCTACTGCTACTGGGTTCCTTGGCTCCTTCTTACTGCTGTCTTTCAATCACACCCTTGATCTTAGGGAAGGCAAGACAGAACACCTATTCTTCTCTTCTATAAGTGCGAAAAATCTCGGAGCTCCTGTGTCCAAGTTGTGCACGTTAAAGATCCCTTGATAGTTCAAATTCGATAAGAGTGGGCTTCGGCCGCCACCCGGACAAAATTCAAAATTAATTCCTACCAAACTGAAAATGTTAAAGGTGTCTCGGGCGCTAATATAATCTTATGCAGTTGCGAGCGCCGTAAACACTTACCAAAACAAACAAAAACAACAGTAATTAACTGGCCGTTATCGTATCAGTGTGTCTTTTTACTCATGACAAATCAACAGATCTGAAAAAGAAATATGGAAGGGGTAACAGATCCAGTAACCAGCAGACAGAAATGGACGACAGACCGAGCGTGTTTGCAACGTAGGGCCTAGGCTACATGATGTATGACAATCTGTATTATTACCGTAGGCTATATACATATTGTAGAAATAATTGTGCATAGGCCGGCCTATAGGTGAACGACACATCAATGTAATGTATGTAATTATCGAATCGGAGGACGAGTTTGAATTTTGTTTGAATCAGAATTATATATTTGGTTAAAGTTTAATTTTTGTAGTTTTGAATTGGATATAGATCTAGCATGAACAAATTGAAATTAATACTGATCTGTTCTCGGATCAAGTTGTGTTTCAATTTCAATTTGGGCAACGCTAATTGTTGCTGCTGAGTAAGGCTGATTCATCACATGATTGATTACTGAGAAAAAACGCGAAGTTTCATTTTCAGTATCACTTCCACACTTCCGCCTTCCGCTACTTGAGACGAAATTTTCCGCCAAACTTAGCCTACCTCTTAGAGGTGTGCGAGTCCAGCATATTAAGATTCGAGTCCAGACTCGAGTATCTGCTCTGGACTCGAGTAATTACTCGAGTAATCACTCGAGTCCCACGGCTCTTAAGACTCGAGTTATTACTCGAGTAATAGTATCCCGAAAGGGAATTTTAGTGGGTTTCAAAAAAGGTTTTGTTGAATATCGGACAGAAAATAGAGTGCCTTCCTAGGAGGGAGCTTGAGTTGGCTTATGGCAATTCTAGACATATGCTGTTTATACCGTATTTATTTTATTTTATCTTAGGAAGTGGCTATTCTCACCCCAGGTGAGAATAAAAATGTGATCGACCTCTCACCCCGGGTGAGACTAGCCAGTGTTGGCTATTCTCACCCGCTGTGAAACAAAACCAGGTGTTCCTAATTTCTGAATACTTCCTATCGGTGAGGATGATTAAATAGACAAACCCCTTTTTAAAAAAATGATATTATAACACAAAAGTAAAACTAATTTGGTGGTCTACAATGATGCTACGGCTGTTTCACTTTTAGAATAGAGCCGAACTACCCTAATCGGCATTTTGTTTTGCCCAGAAGTTCTCGCTATATCTAGGCTACTCCCCTCTCTCTCTCTCTCTCTCTCTCTCTCTCTCTCTCTCTCTCTCTCTCTCTCTCTCTCTCTCTCTCTCTCTCTCTCTCTCTCTCTCTCTCTCTCTTTCAATGCTCGCAGATAAAATTGCATGTTTTTAACACAAGAGGACTGGAACGTTTGTTTACACGACAGAATTCAATTTTAAAAAAGTGTAGATCTAGAATTCTGTGGTTTACACTGGGTATCACATCACGGTAAACGCACACATGAAGAGAATAGCCAAAAGGCTCGCTCTCTCACCCCGGGTGAGTGAGAAGCTTACAACTGTATAACAACTAAGCTAGAATAGAGGTAGTCTTCATCTGATCTTATCTTATTTTTTATTTTTTTAAAATAATTCTTTGTTACAACAGTAAGAATAAAATGTACACAAACTTCAGACAATGCACTTCATAAAAGAAAGAAGTTTGATTGGTCATCGTGGGTTTCTAACAGTGGTTTCCTTTTTGCTTTTTTCTGGGGGGGGGGTCGGTTTTTTCCTTTGGGGAAGGGGTATTTTTGGGTTTTTTTGTTCCTTTTCCTTCAGTTTTAAAAAATTGCTTATCAAAATTTTTCTTTTATCAATTCTTCACTTTTTAAAAAACCAAATTTTTCCCCTTTTTTCTGTTTTCCCCCTGCAGACTCGAGTCTGGACTCGAGTCCTTACTCGAGTCCTTACTCGAGTAATTTACTTATGACTCGAGTCTGGACTCGCCGCATGTATTACTCGAGTACTCGAGCCTGGACTCGTTACTCGCACACCTCTACGTAGTACCTCTTGTTTGGTTGTTAGGCCTTGCCTATTCTCAGATTCACACACTTTGCATAGACTCTACAGTGATAGCTTTTGTGTCGTATGTCGTGACTGTCCAGTAGCTGTGAGTTGTGAGTGGATTCTCGGTCCAGAGTTCTTCATTTTCTCTTGGGCTAAGACTTGTAAACGTTGGTTTTTCTGATCACATAAAATAACAAGATGTCTATCGATGACCATACCAAACCGCGGGTCAACGGTTCTTTGTTACCAAACTTCCACGGGAAGCAAGTTTGCCTACTTGGAGTGGCAAAAGACGTGAGTTTTCGTTAACATAAATCTGTTTTGTGGCGATTGTAACAGCAGTTTATTCATTATCATATTTTACAGAGGGTACTTTATATTTTATTTGGCTGGCTCTATTTCTCCGAACGTTCGGGGAAATAAACTTGAACTTTATTTCTCCGAATGGTTCCCGTTCTCGAGATTTGTTGATAATAAGCAAATGGAGTGGCCTGAGTGTGTGAGGTGTGAACGGGGGGGGGGGGGATTTTTTTTTTACATAAGGATTTAAGTTTTTTTGCTGGGTGTCTAAAGGCAATTATAAGTTACTGTGTGTGTGTGTGTGTGACGTGTGTGCATGTGGTGTGTCTATAAGGTGTGAACGAGACATGGGGGGGGGGGGGGGCTTGGCGGGATTTTTTTTTTACATGAAAGGTTTTAGAGTTGGGTTTTTTTTACTGACGCATCCGTCTCATGTTCACGTCTAGATATCTAGATCTAGATCTAGGCCTACTTCTTTTCTATCCTAGAACATTGCTCCAACCACAACTGAAATATCTGAATATTCAGATATTTATAAATCTCTTGCTCTAGAAATTGAATTCGATGCAAAAAATGCTTCATTCCTCCCAGTCCCCGCAGAATGGCAGAATGAAAGGATGACGCCTAAATCTCACAAATAATTAAAAAATTTTGAGATCAGAAACCGTTTAGGAGAAATAAAGTAAAGAGTTCAACTTTCTTTTCCCGAGCGTTCGGAGAAATAGTAACTTCGTTTTTATTTTGTCCCTGGACTTAAAACAACCCACACGGGGTAGGACACAAGAAGCTCAGGGCCGAGTAGTCACAGTAGTAGTAAGTATCTACTTTTCTGCTCTGGTGGTAGATATCTACTTTCAGTTTCATTTTCAACAGAATCTGATCTAGATGTCTAGATCTAGATATAGATCTAGATCTTTAGGCTAAAGTTAGGGACTAAAAGAAGCCTGTGTTACCGCTATCCACCTTGGTAGGGTAGGGTAGGGTTAAGGCTAGGCCAGGAGCCCTTTTATCCGAACTCTCAGGGAAAATAAAGCCTGGGGGAAATGCGGAAAAAGAAGGGGGGGGGGGGGGGGAGAGGGGGGAGAGACAAAAAAGGGGGGGGGGGGTCCTCAGATTGTTTGAAAAGTAATATTGTAGGAGGCAAAGGCACATACACACAAAAAAAACCCTGCAGTGGCTATGTTCACGGCGCCGTGAATGCAGTTTGCAGGCGCTGTTGAGGCTATGTTCACGGCACCCTGAATGCAGTTTGCAGGCGCTGTTGAGGCTACATTCATGGCATTCAAGCTTCGTTTAGACGGAGCGTCATCTGTCGGTTTAAGTAAGCCATTTTTAGTCTGTGACGACAGTGACATATATTTAATTTTGGCCTGCTTCAAGCATTCCATCCCATGAGATGAAAAAAGATGAAGCAGTGATCCTTGACCGATCGACCAATCGTCGTTTTCCCTTACTCTGAGCTCTGGCTCAGAACTCGCCAGTGTAAGGGAAAACGACGAACTCTCAATTACGCAAGAACGCATTAGGACATGACAAAAATGTATCTATCTATCTATCTCTCTATCTCTGTCTCCATGTGTCTCTCTTGAGAGAAAGAGATAGATTGATAAATAGATAGATTTTTATATATGTAGAGAGAGAGAGAGAGGCTTTCTCCCTCTCTTCTATTTTCTCTCTTATTCTCTTTCTGCTTCTGTATCTCTTTTCTTTCTTTCTCACTCACTGTCGCTTTCTCTCTCTCTCTCTTTCTCTGTCTGTCTGTGTGTGTCTCTCTCTCTCTCTCTCTCTCTCTCTCTATCTCTCTCTCTCTCTCCTATTTTCTCTCTTATAAATTCTCTCTTTTTTCTTTTTTTCTCAATCATTGCCGCTTTCTCTGTCTCTCTCTCCCTCCCTCCTTCTTTCTGTCTGTCTCTTTCTCTTCC